GCCTGAACTCTGGGCCTGGGCACTGTCCCTCAGCTCTTCAGCTCAAGGCTAGTGCTCTACCACTTGAGCCACAGCACCACTTCTGGCTTTTTCTGCGCATGTGGTGCTGAGGAATCAAACCCAGGGCCTCAGGCATGCAAGGCAAGCACTCTACCACTGAGCCACCTTCCCAGACCCTGGAATCTGTTTTGATTTGCATTTCCTCCCGTGTTTCAGTGCCATTCTTCCCTCTTCTTCTGAGAAGTCTCTCCTTAGCTCTCTTGCCCGTTTAGTGATTGGTTTATTAAGTTTGGGAGGGGTTCGTTTCTTGAGCTCCTTGGATATACTGGCTATTAGGCCTTTGAGGCATGCTGGCAAAGAGCTTCTCCCAGCCTGTCTGCTGTCTTTCTAGTGTATTAACTATATCCTTAGATTGTGCAGACACTTTGTATTGGGATGTCTTCCCACTTGTCAAATCTGTCTGCTGGCTTTTGGGCCTCCTGGGACTCTTCTGTAAGTTTCTGCTGTACCTGTTAAGTGCAAATGTTTTTCTTACTCCCCCTTGCAGTAGTATCAGGTTTCAAGTCTAATGTTGAGGTCTTCGACCCGCTTTGAATTGTTTTTAGTGCCCGGTGACAGTTTTCTGCATCTGGACGCTGGTCTTCCTTTGAAGCAGCAGACCAGGCCTTCTCCTCCCCAGGAGGTGGACAGACCCGGATGGTCCCTTCTCCGCCGCCCCGTCGTCTTGGCAACCGCGTCTCCCGAGCTGGTGTGTGTGTGTGGGGAAACTGGCCGTTCCTCGGCGCTCCTATTGGTCGGAAGTTTGCAGTAGGCGGGCCATATCCTTATTCATTGGTCAGGCTTTGCAAGCCCACACGCTCTCATTGGCTAATTAACCAAAAGGGGCGGGCCTTGGGTCAGCGGTTGTAGTGAGGCGCCGAAGCGCGGTGCTGCGCGGTGCCAGGACCGTCCCGGGATATTTGGAAGGTTAAAGGTGAGAGGGGGGGTCACGTGGGGATTAAGGGGTGAGAAGAGAGTGGAGGGAGATGGGTGGGGATTCTCAGGTGTCTGTTCCGCAGGGGTATGACCACCGCGGCGGGGTCCGGCACCGGCTTCGGCTCGGTGTCCTGGTGGGGCCTGTCCCCGGCGCTGGACCTGCAGGCGGAGAGTGAGGCACCCCGGGGTCCTCCCACCCGGGGTCTTCCCGCACTCTGAAGCCCTCCCCCAGGGTCCCTACCCCCAGGAGCTTTCTCACCCGGGAACCCTCCCTGGGAGCCTTCCCCCGGTGTCCCCCCCATCCTGGAGCTTCCCCAGGGGTCCCCTCACCCGGCAGCCTCCCCAGGGGGTCCCCCTCACCCGGAGTCTCCCCTTCCCGGGTCGCGTGCCCTCTGAAGCCGGAGTCCCCAACCAGGGCCGGGGCAAGGCGGGGTCGCAGGGCTGGGCACAGGGCAGGGGCTCCCCGAGTCCCCTCTGCGGACTCCCAGCCTCAGGATGCTGGGCCGCGGATCCCTGGGAGCCCAGGCCCGACCAGGGTGAGCCTGCGGGGCCGCGGTGCGGAGGCCCAGCCTGCCGTCCTCCGGCCAGGTCCTCCTGCGGAATGGGACCATCGAGCCGACCCCGAGCCCGGGCCCCCCGAGCTGGAGGTGCTGCTGCTGGGCTCCGTGGACGGGCGGCACCTGCTGCGGACCCTGGCCCGGGCGTCGTTGTGGCCTCGAAGGGGCTTCCAAGTGAGCTGGGGGGGGGGTCTGGGGCCTGGGAGGGGAGGAAGGGAAGGGAGGAAGGAGGGGAGGGAAAGTAGGAAGGGGAGGAGGAAGGGAGGGGAGGGGGGAGGGAAGGAAGGGGGGAAGGAGGAGAAAGGGGAGAAGGGAGAGGAGGGGAAGGGGAGAAGGGAGAGGAGGGAAAGGGGAGAAGGGAGAGGAGGGGAAGGGGAGGAGGGAGGGGGTGGAGTAGGGTAAAGAGGAAGAACCTACAGCCCACATCCCTGGGTTGTGGAGGGAAGAGGGTGTGGATCTAGAGCTGGAATCTGCATTGTCAGAGTCACCGGTGGGAGCTGGGATCCGGGACCGTCGTCTTGGGGGGAGCAAAGGGCCAGGGGCTTTGGGTTTTGACCAGGAGAAAGGTCTCTGGCATTGGGGGGTTAGGTTTTGGGGTTCTAGGGATGCAGATTCATTTTGCCCTGTCCATCTGACCTCCAGTTTTATGTGCTGGAGAATAATCTGGAAGCAGTGGCCCGGCACATGCTGATCTTCAGCCTTGCTCTGGAGGAGCTAGACAAGATGGGCATTCAAGGTCAGTTCTGATCCCACTTTCTTGCGTTATTCAATCACACCACTAAAACATATAAACCTTATAGAGTGCTTGCCTCAATTGCATGAGGCCCTGGTTCAATTCCTCAGCACCACAAAGAAAAACAACAATAACAATAACCAAACCATGTTTCAATCACATTATTATTATTGTCAGTTGTGGGGCTTGAACTCTGGGTCTGGACGCTGCCCCTCAGCTCTTCTGCTCAAGGCGAGCGCTCTACCACTTGAGCCACAGCACCACTTCTGGTTTCCTAGTGGTTTATTGGAGATAAGAGTCTCAAGGACTTTCCTGCCCAGGGCTGGCTTTGAACAGCGATCCTCAGATCTCAGCTTCCTGAGTTGCTGGGATGACAGGCGTGAGCCATCCGCGCAGGGCTCAATCATATTGTTTAATGCCAACAAAAAAGGCTGAGGTGGAAGGCCCTCCCCGCCTCTCCGCCCCAGGCGGAAGCAAGAAACCTCCCGAACACTAAATGGAAAAGGGCTGGGTTGTCACTCAAGTAGAAGAGTGCTTAGAAGGTCTCCAGTGCCACTGTAGGTAGAGACAGACAGACGCAGACATCAGGCTGGCCCGGGATTCGGGGCCCCGGGTGAGGACTGGTGACCCCGTTATTCTCGGGCGGGCTCCTGGTCCGGGTCTGAGTCTGACGTGTGCTCTCTCGATCCCCCCACCCCGTCTCTCCCTGCCCCCCTGCAGAGCGCAGCGAGACCTTCCTGGAGCTGTGGGGAAACGCGCTGCTGCGCCCCCCGGTGGCCGCCTACGTGCGCGCGCAGGCCGCGCGCCTGGCGCAGCTAGTCCCAGAGCCCGACCGCCTGGAGCGGCAGTTTCCCTGGCTCCGCCTCTGCGCTCTCAAGGTGCGGGCTCGGCCTCCCCGCCTGCCCGGCCGGGGACGGGGTCGGGGGGAAGAGGGTCGCGAGTTCGGGTCCCGGGTCCCAGCTCGGGGGCGGGGTGCGGTCTCCGTGGTGGAAGGGAGCAGCCGCTCTCCCTACCCCCACTCCGCTCTCTCCCCACGCGTGTCCGCAGTTTCGCGAGCGGGACGCCCTGGAGGCAGTGTTCCGCTTCTGGTCCGGAGCGGAGCGGGGCCCCGCGGCCTTCCCCGTGCGCCGGCTCTGGGACGCGCGGCTTCGCCATTACCTGGGCTCGCGCTACGACGCGCGCCACGGCGTCAGCGACTGGGACCTGCGCATGAAGCTGCACGACCGCGGGGTGAGGGGCGGACAGACGGACGGCCGCGAGGCGGGGGACGGAAGCGAGGCGGAGGGCGGACACGGGATCGTGGCCCCTGACGGTGCCGCGGACTCCCCTAGCCGGCCCTTCATCCACACCCAGGCCCAGGTCATCCACACCCGCGAGTTCCGGCGCTGGCGGGACACGGGCGTGGCCTTCGAGCTCAGGGACCCGGGCGCTTACCTCGAGCCCAACAGGACGCTGGCGTCCGGGCGCCTCCTGAGCCACGTCAGTGCCGCCTGCCCTTCTGACCTCTTCGTCCCGGGTCCCCGGTCTGGGTCTCGGGGAGGGCCTCGCCCGCCTGCCCCCGCCCCCCGTGCGGCTTTGCCCGCCCCCCACCTCCGTCCCCCCTTCCCCACCCCCATCCGCCTCTGCGCGGCCTCGCTCGCCCACCCCCCTCCTCAACCCGCTTCCCCCCGCCTCACCCCCCTCCGCAGCGTGGGGAACGCGTGGCGGCGCGCGGGTACTGGGGGGACATTGCCACGGGGCCCTTCGTGGCCTTCGGCATTGAGACGGACGACCAGAGCCTCCTGCGGACCAGCAACGGACAGCCGGTCAAGGTGTGGGCGCGGTCTTGGCCCCCCGAGTTACAGCCCCCCCCAGGACTACACCCGGTCTCCCCCAGCGCCCCAAGTTCAGCCCTGGGCACGCGAGGTCCCGGCCCGGGTCCCGTCGAGCCTCCTCTCTGCCCGTCAGACCGCCGGGGAGATCACGCGGCACAACGTGGCGGAGCTGCTCCGGGAGCTGGCCGCCTGGGGGCGCTCGCAGGGGGACCCCGGGCCCGCCGACGCCTCAGGTGCTTGGCGGGGTGCTCGGGGGCTTGTCTCCCCTTTCCCCAAGTCCTGGCACCGTGTGTGGGGGGGTGGGGTCTGAGTTCCAGCTTTTGGGGCAAGCATCCGACTGGGCGACCAACACTGGCCCTGCCCGGTGCCAAGCCCTCTCCGGAGATGCCCGCTCTTCCTCTCTCCGTCTACGGTTGCCTGGTGTAAAATGGACTCTGTAGGCGCACGGGGCTCGGGGGCGGGCGACCCGCCTCAGCCGGGAGGATGGCCGGCGGTGGCCGGCCTGGCCGGGGCGGGGGAGGGGGGAGGAGGGAGGAGTCCGCAGCGCAGGCCCCGCCGCCCCTGCCCCAGGCTTCGCTAGTCTCAAGGTCTGCCTCCCCCGCCCTCCCCCCGCCCCCGCGGCTCCTCCATCCAGGGAAGGCGCCCACTGCGGCGCCCTTCACTATCCACTTCCTGCCCCTGGGCTCCGCGCAGACTCTGCACCACAAGAGCTGCCACCGTGGCCGGTTCCAGCTCCTCTATGTGTCCTGCGGGTAAGGGGTACGGTGCAGGCACGGGGTCCCAGGCCCGGCCCCTCGAGCCCTGGAGCACGTCCCTACCCAACCCTCCCCTGCTCTTTGCAGCATGGCCCATCTTCTCAGCCCCGAGCTGGGGGCCTGCGTGGCCCGCGGCGGGAACCTCGTCGTGGAACTCGCTAGGTGAGCCCGCGGAGCGCCGGGTTGGGGATCGGGGCGGGATTGGGGCCGGCCGGAAGCGGGGCCTCACCCGCCTTCCCTGAGCAGGTACATGGTGGACCTGCGGCCCGAGCAGCTGCGGGCTTTCTCCGCCCAGGTTGGGGAGCTGGCGCGGGCCGCTGGGTTCGCTGAGCACCCTGGGGCCCACCCCTCCGAGACCTTCGCGCGCTTCTGTAAGTCGGGGGACTCGGCCGCTTACCTCAAGGACTCAGCTGTGGGATCAGAACCTCCGCTCCGCGAGGTCCAAACCCCGCCTCTAGCAGGAATGAGCCCGCCCTGGGCGGAAGTGGCCACGCCCCTAGAAGCAATGTGCCCGCCCCAGGCGGACGCGGCCACGCCTCCAGAAGCAATGAGCCTGGCTCAGGAGGTCGTGGCCACGCCCCTAGACGCAATAAACCTGTCCCAGGAGGACGCGGCCACGCCTCCAGAAGCAATGAGCCCGGCTCAGGCTGACGTGACCACGCCCCCAGAAACAATGAACCCTCCCCAAGATGACGTGACCACGCCCCCCGAAGCAATGGACCCGCCCCAGGTGGACGTGGCACACCCCCAGAAGCAATAAGCATACCGCGGACGGACGTGGCCACACCCCCTGACCTCTAGGCCTGGCCCCATTCTCAGAAGCTCTCTGGGTACTAGGGTCTGCGTACTAGGGTCCACCGGAAGCTGCTGGCCCTGCCCAGGGAGGCTCTGGGCAGGTTGACTCCAAAACCAAGAGCCCAAACACCTCATCCTTAATAGACTGGAACCTGCTCAACGATTCTAACCCTGATAGAATTTTCTTTCTCAGCATTGGATGGATGCCGAGCATTTCGGATTCCGTTTCTGGGATTCTCCCTTCAACTCCTAGAACCCTACGTAGATTGTTTCTCAGAAGTCTGTTTCCCCTCTGCCGAGAGTTCTCACCTGAAACCTGGCCTCTGTTGTGCCTTTCTCCTGGGGCGGTCCCTGCTCAACCGGGGATGCGAAGGCTCTCCAGGGCCCAGTCAGCTCCCACACGGAGCAAATAAAAACGCTGGGATCTCTTCTCTGTCGGTGTCTAGTATTTCTCCTGACCCCAGTCTGTCTCCAGGGCTGGGAGGGGAGGGCCCATATGTCCAGAAACCAGACTTCGGGGGTTCCAGGCAGACTGAGGTGTATTTCTCAGTAACATAGGTCCCACACCCTGACCCTCAAACCAACCAGCTACAGGTACTGTGTGGCTAGCAGATTTGGAGCTCAAACTGACTCTAGGACAATGAAAAGCATAGGGGACATTCTCAGCAGGGGCTGAAGGTGGAGGATCTTGGGTCTCGGAGGGAGGAGGGGCTGAGTGTCTGGATCTCTGCCTTTGAGAGCGGAGGGGGCTGAAGCTGGACTCTATCCGAGGTGGAAGGACCAGGGCAAGAGCCCTGTAGTCTTGGGCTTGAAGGAAGAGGAGGGGGTTAGAACTTGAAGGTCAGAGGGAGGAGGCCACTAGGGATCTAGCTGGAAGTCCGCCCGCCCCACCCCTCTTGCGTCATCCTCTCCCACCCTGGTGGGGGAGGAGACAGTATATTTAGTGTCTGTCCTCGGCCCTTATCTCAGCGTCCTCACCCAGGCTCGAGCGGACCGGAGGAGACCGCAGTTTGGGGACCGCCAAGGTCACCCCAGACACCCCTCACTGGCCTGGCAGGAGCCCCCTGCTCTGCCTCCAACCTCCCATGGCTGATGAGTGTGTGGGGACCCCCAGGAAAGAGGGATGGGGCGGTCTGCAGGGTCCTGGGAGGCTGGACCAGTGTGTGTGTGGGGGGGAACGCAGGGCGGGGTCCCGGGGAAGCAAGGTGAGAAAGCGAGAGGGGATCGGACTCCAGGCACCCCGGGGGGATGGATGGGTGGCCCCGGCCTCAGGGGGACCTTCGACATCCCTTCGGGGCAGCACCTCCATGGCCCACTAACCACCCTCTCCGTGTTCCCCTTGCAGGAGCAGCGAGGCGGTGAGTGCCACGGGCTGAAGCAGGGGTGCGGGGTGGCCTGGGGCTCCTGGGTGGGTGCCACACTGAGGGGTCTGCAGGGCGCAGGGGCTGGGGACGAGTGGGGACCTCTCGGTGATGATGCGACTTCTGACCCTCTACCCGCAGGCTGGGGAACCGAGCCCCGCCCCTGCCCCGGTCAGACGTCGCTCCTCTGCCAACTACCGGGCTTATGCCACCGAGCCCCACGCCAAGGTGGGCGGGGCCTGTGCATCGATGGGCGGGGCTTGCAGGGGCGGGGTCAGTGCCCTGTGGGGTTTAGGGTCTTGGGTGAGGCCTCCTGATGGAAGGGCGGGGCCAGGCCTCAGAGCCAGGGGGTGGGGTTTTGCTATGGGCAGGGTTAAGATAGGTGGGCGGGCTTTCTGGAAAGGATAGGTTCCGATTGGTGGGAGCTGCCTGTCCACAGGCTGGGGGGGTGACTGGTCAGTGCCTAGCGGGAATGGAGTCCTAGACTGGTGAATGCATTTGAGAGGCATGCAAAAGGCATGCAAATGGGGAGCGACCCCCAGTCTGTACGCACTTGACTGGGGTCGTGGAGTCCTTCCCACTGTCTATCACGTGTCCCTCCTTGACTCCTACATGCTCCACGTCGCCCTGGCAGAAAAAGTCTAAGATCTCCGCTTCAAGGAAACTGCAGCTGAAGGTGAGGCTGTCCGCCTGCGGGCGGGTGGGGGCCGGCAGGGCCCTGAGGGGCTGGGTCGTTACTTTATGCGGCGGGGCCGGCGTGCCCCCTTCCCCTCCGCAGATGCTGATGCTGCAGATTGCCAAGCAGGAGCTGGAGCGGGAAGCGGAGGAGCGGCGCGGGGAGAAGGGCCGTGCCCTCAGCACCCGATGCCAGCCTCTGGAGCTGACCGGGCTGGGCTTCGAGGAGCTGCAGGTGAGGATGGACGATCGCCGGCCTGTGTGCCTGGGCTCAGGCGTGCAGGCAGGATGGCGCCTTCTACCCGGGGCCTAGAAGCTCAGCAGAAAAAGCCCGGGGACAGCGCCCAGTCCAGAATTCAAGCCCCACAACCCACCAAACGTAGCGCTGGACCACTTTAAGCCACAGCTCCACTTCCAGTTTTCTGGTGGTTCATTGGAGATAAGGGTTTCCTTCCTGGGTCACCTTAAACTTGCAATCCTCAGATCTCAGCCTCCTGAGTAGCTAGGATGAGCCACGGGCGGCTGCCTGGCTGTAGCCTTAATCTCGGGAAAGCAGAGTTGGGTGACAGCCATTTCCAAAACATGGTTCCTCTAGCCAAATTCTCTGGAGTCTAGGTTCCAGTCTCCCACTTGCAGACCAGATGGTCAGGCCCCAGCCCTCTTCCCTCAGACCCAGAGGTCCTGACTTTAGCTCTTTCACCCAGGCCCAGGGTTCAAACCCAGCCCTCATCCCGCAGACCTGGGAATCCCATCTTCCATGACCCCACAACACACCCATTTCCCTTCACCAGGAGCTATGCCGGAAGCTCCACACCCGGGTGGACAAGGTGGATGAGGAGAGATATGATGTGGAGGCAAAAGTTACCAAGAACATCACGGAGGTGGGAGTCCTGGGCGGGGTGGCACCCTCGGGGCTGGGGTCTTAGTCTGGCTCTGGCAGCTGCTTTTGGTGGCAGATCTCAGGAGAGTCAGGACCACTGTGACAGATGAACATAATATGGAAAGGGAAGTGTGTTTCAGCACATGGATCACAGGAGCAATGGTGGGGCTGGGACGTGTAGATACTCTTGTGGAAATGTGTGGTTGGAGCACTGAACAGTGTAATGAACTCAAGAATGAGTGGGGCCTTGTGGCTTACACCTCGCTGGCCATGATGTGTCAGAAGTGTCAGGAGACGAAGCTGGGGCACATCTGACAATCCTGAGTTCCAGAATTGTCCCCCTGAATAGCAGCAGGGGTCCAGGAAGGGAAGGTGAGCCTTGGAGGGAAGTGTAAGGTGGGAGGCATGTGGGTCAGACCTCCACACCCTCAGATTGCAGACCTGACCCAGAAGATCTTTGACCTCCGTGGCAAGTTTAAGCGGCCCACCCTGAGGAGGGTGCGGATCTCGGCAGATGCTATGATGCAGGCACTGCTGGGCACCCGGGCCAAGGAGACCTTGGACCTGCGGGCTCACCTGAAGCAGGTGAAAAAGGAGGACACTGAGAAGGTGAGCATGGGCAAGGCCCCTGGGCAGGGCCTGGGAGCTGCGATGGTGCTCAGATGAAGGCTGTGAGCAAGTGTGGAGGGAGTTGTGGCAGCTGGCAAAGGTTTTCAGTGAGAAGCACAGGGGACACAAGAAGTGCAAGAGGAAGGCAGGAGGTGAGCTGCACAGGGGACACAGGAAGTGCATGAGGAAGGCAGTAAGACATGAAGAGGGGAAGATAGTAAGTGCATTGGGGAGAGAGGAGGCAAGAATCAGGAAGTTGATGACTCTACCAGAAACTCACGAGAGAAACAAAGCAACTCAGGAAAGAAGGGAAAGACAGGAGCATAGAAGGAAGGGAAGAAGGAAGCTGATGCAAATTGTACAGAGAAGTATTTAAGGGACACAGGAAATAGAAAGAAGACAGAAGATTAATAGTAAAGAAGTACTCAAGAAGATAGCAAAAGCTGGGTGCCAGTGTCTCATGCCTGTCATCCTAGCTACTCAGGAGGCTGAAATCTGAGGATTATGGTTCAAAGCCAGCCTGGGCAGGAAAGTCCATGAGACTCTTATCTCCAATAAACCACCAGAAAACTGGAAGTGGTGTTGTGGCTCAGGTGGTAGAGTGCTCACCTTGAGCTGAAGAGCTGAGGGATAGCGCCCAGGCCCAGAGTTCAAGCCCTATGACTGACAAAAAAAAAAAAAAAAAACGCAAAGTATATAAGGGGACAGGAAATGCCATGAAGGAGACAGGAAGTACATGAGGAGGACAGGAAGTACCACAAAGGGAACAGGAAGTGCATGGGGGAATTGTCAGAGGGTTTACAATAGTGCTAGAACCAGATTCCTGGCCAGGCATCCAGAACACAGCGGTCCAGCAAGCTCCAGGGAAGGTAGGGGACACCCGGGGATGGGAGACAGGAAGAGATCCTAAGCTTTGACCTTATCCCTCACCCCCAGGAAAACCGGGAGGTGGGCGACTGGCGGAAGAACATTGATGCGCTGAGCGGAATGGAGGGCCGCAAGAAAAAGTTTGAGGGCTGAGCCCGCCAGGGCCACCTAGGCCCTGGGAATGTCCCCGAGGAATAAAGTCTCTCTCAGAGCCGGAAGTGACTGCTTGTCTGCGGCTGCGCGGAGGCTGGGGAAGTCAGAAAGGGAGGGCCCATGTCCTCAAGCCATGGCCCAGCCCAGGCAGGCTGGACTTCTACCATGGGTCTTGTGGTCACAATTCAAAAGAGAGGGACAGAGACACAGAGGGGTGCTGGGGAGACAGCCACGGACCCATGAGAGAAGAAGGATGACAGAAACACAAAGGAAGAAAACAGACTAGGGTACTCACTGAGCTGCAGGTAGATGGCGAAGATACAGAAAGGAACCCAAAGAAGGTAAAACCACATGGACTCACCAGACTCAGAGAACTAGAGAGACAGGCGCATGTGCCCCCCTCCCCCATTCCCCATGGAGCACAGAGAGAAAGCCAGAGGGAAACTGAGGTATGGACAGACACACCAAGGGGCAGAGACAAAGTGATAGACAGAAAACCCTCAGAGAAGAGACAAATAGCAGAACCCAACCAGAGAGCCAGGAAAGGTCGAGAAACAAAACACAAAGATGAAGACCAAGCAGCAGAGGACGCCTGTTTCCCAAGGCTGGTTTCCCTGGAGTTCAAGGTCATAGCTTGGCTGGAAAGGGGGTGGGGCAGAGGCTACAAAAACAGACCCGTGTCAGGTGGGAGGGAGGGGAAGGTCGCGCCAGTTTAATGACACCCCGTCCTCTCCTCTCCCCGCCACACCTGCTCCCCAGCTTTAGAGCCTGCTGTCACCAGGGTGGCATTCTGGTGACAAAGGGGTGGGGGCGGGGAGAGGGAAACAGAGGGACAGAGATGGAGAAGTTCAGAAAGACAGAGATACACCGGTGGAAGCCCTCAGGAGTCGTTGGTGAAACAAATGGAGCCCCGGAAATGGAGAGAGGGAGCAGGAAGTGGTCTTGTACCCACTTTATCATGAAGCAGCCTCCTAGCGCTGGCTGTGTGCCCATTCTAGCACTTCAAAGCTGGGGCGCTGGATCCCTGTCAGGGAGTTATTTAGTTCTCTTTGAGGGGGGTGCCTGACCCTGGCCCAGGCTCCAGGGGTCACCGATGGCGTCTTGGAGCATCTGGGAGATGCCTGGACTCACGGGAACGGGGGGCAGGGTGGCTGGAACTTTGGAGCTGTGGCACTTGTGTCTGAGCAAAGGAATTCTCTCCCCTCCCCTGACCCCCGCCTCCGAGGCGGGGCTGAGCTTGCGGCTATAAACCCTGGCACCCGTGGGCCAGGGCTTTCTGCAAAGGCTCCCACTGCCTTTAGAGCTTCTGTGGCCTGGCCTTAGGTAAGGGGGAGTGGGGGGCTCTGGGGGTCCGGAAGGTCTAGGGGATGCACAGAGGTAGGCACAGAAGGTTTGGGAGTGTGGGAGACAGGAATGGAGGAACAGGTGTTGGAATTTGCAGGTTGTTCTGGGGAACACTTCCCTAGGACTGCTTGGGACTGGGGTGGGGGAGTCACAGAAATCGGGGCAATCTGGGCTAGTGGGTCAAACAGCTCAGACAGTAGATGTTCTCAGTGTTGTTTAAGAGTTTGAGAGCCTAGAATCAGAGTATCCACTTTGGGGGTGTAATGGTGCAGGGTGCTATGAAATGCACCTCCGAACTTGACCATCAAGGTATGTTTCTTGGGGGATGTCATATACCTTGAGGTCTAGAATTGAGGTCCATACCTGGAGTGTCTGAGCTGTATATATGTGCTCTTTCATGAACTGGGGACCTAGGAGCTGGAGTTTGATGGAAGTGTTGGTCTGTTTCCAGGGGTCACAGATTTGAGGGTGTCAGAATCTGTGGGTCTTAGGATTTGGGGGTCCCTTAATCTGGGAACTTTGGGGCCTAGAGGGTCATGGAGATGGGAGAGGTAAGGCACCCAGCCCTCTGTGGATGGGGTGAAGGTGTGGGAGCCCAGCAGGGGAGAGCGGGGGGAGGGGGGGCGATGGGGCTGGCAGTCTCAGAAGCTCTGAGGAAATGTCCCGTTCAGCCAACTACAACATACCCCGAAATAGCACTCAGGGTGGGGCAGCCATTGTCTTCAGGCCACTGTCCCTTCTCTGGTACCCCTAATCCCACCGGATCAAGTTCCTGGACCTGTCACAGGACAAAAGGGGACAGACAGTAGCATATCACAGGACAAAAGGGGACAGCTGTGCACGGGGTGGGGCCTGCAGCCCTCCAGCTGCCCCAGACACGTTCCAAGCAGACTGAAGACTAGCTTGGGCCCCAGCCTCCTCCCTCAGATCCAGGGGTGCAGACCCCAGCCTCTTCCCTCAGAGTAGGGGGTCCAGGCTCCAGCCTCCTCCCTCAGGCCCAGGGGTCCAGGCTCCCAGCTCCTCCTCCTCGGTGGCCTCCCGCACCGCGCCTCTTTTCTGGCCCTCAGGTTTCTCCAGGATGTCGGACCTCGAGGATCAAGACTATGAGGAGTAAGTGGGGGTGGCGGGACTGGTCATGCGGTTAGCCCCTCTGCCCCTCTCCCTCCGTCCCCTGCCCTCCCCAAGAGAACTAACTATGCCTCCTTCTCTCCATCCGTCCGTCCTCAGGGAGCAGGTGGAAGGTGAGTGGCAATGAGGACCCGGGTCTGGGCCTGGGGGCCGCGCAGGGGTGCAGTGGGGCGCGAGGCGCCCAGGGCCGCCCGCCCCGTCGGGGCGCTGTGACCGCCTCAGGGCCGGGTGCACAGGGCCGGGCTCGGCTCTCGCCCCGCCCTCCGGCCTGGACCCCAGCTCCTAACATCCCCCTTGTCCGCCCCGCCCGTCCAGCTGAGGAGGCAGCAGAGGAGGAGGAGGAAGGTGAGGCCCGAACTCCGCGGGGAGGGCCGAGCTGGATGCCGGGGTGCGGGGCGGGGCGGGGTGCGGGGCTTGGGGCGCTCGGACCATGGAGTGCGGGCCCCCGCAGCCGCGACTCACCCTCTAACCCCCGCTCCGGTCTCTTCCCTCCTGCCCGCAACACCCCGTTTGGCCGTGCCCCCTCCCCGCACGCCCAAACCCCGCTTCTCCTCCCGCTCTTCCCAGCCCCCGAGGTGCCGGAGCCAGCGGCTGAGCGAGGTAACCGCGACTGCTTGGCTTCCCGAGAGCGATTTCGGGGGCCTGGGGACCCCGATATCACGCGGACGGCCCTCCAGCGTCGCCCCTTGGCTCCTGGGTAACCCGCGCGCCCCGGGCCCGCCTCCACACCGCGCCAGGCCACGCCCCCACGCAGCCACGCCCTTTAAGCCCCGGCGGCGCGGCGCCCTCTGGTGGCTAAGAAAGGAAATGGCTCTGCCGCCCTCGAGTCCCTTCTTTAAAGGGCCCGGCACCCCCGCCCTGCCTGTCGTCTTTCTCCTCCATATACATTCAGAGGTTGGGGCCTGGACTTGAGGATCGCAATAGAAACAGGGTGTCTGTGTCCCAAAAGGGGAAAGGGGCCTGAGGCCAGATCCCCGGTGTAGCTGGATGAGCAGAAGGGCCGGGCCCCCTCCGTGGCTGGCCTTCTATTATTATTGCTATTATTATTAATATTATAATGGTGGTGAGGCTGGAAGCCAGGTCCTGGGCCCCGGAGGCAATTTCCCTCATTGAGCTCAGTCCCCACCTCCACCCCCCCAGGCCTTGATGGAGGCCAGCAACTCTGGGCTTATTAGGGGCGAGGCTGGGGTCCCAGGGCCCCCACACCAGGGCTGAATGTATATCTGATACGCATACCTGGCTTCCTCCTCCTCCCTCCCTTCTCCTCTCCCCTCCTCCCCAGCCCTGATTCTAGGGTGCTACCCTGGGCTCCTGGGGGGCTGAGGCTTGGGGCTGCTCTGAATTCTTGCTAATAATCTTTATATCTTCCACCACCCCCAGAAGAGGAGCGCCCTAAACCCAGGTGAGCCGAGGAGGGAATGTGAACCGTGGTTGTGCTTCTTATAGAGGTTCTTCCATCTCCAGGGAGAGGGAGAAAGAAAGAAGAGGAGGAGAGGGCTGAAATCAAAGAGCCCACAGGACTTTCTTGTTCTCATTTCCCATCAACCCCCAGACAGCTGGAAGTGAAGCTGTGGCTCAAAGTGGTAGGGTGCTAGCCTTGAGTGAAGAGCTCAGGGACAGTGCCTAGGCCCTGAGTTCAAGTCCCAGGACTGGCAAAAAAAAAAATTTAAATCTCAGCTTTTTTTTGGTCCTGGGGCTTGAACTCGGGGCCTGGGCATTATCCCTGAGCTCTTCACCTCAAGGCGAGCAGGTTTTCTCTAGTTTATTGGAGATAAGAGTCTCATGAGCTGGCTTTGAACCGTGATCCTCAGATGTCAGCCTCCTGAGTAGCTAGGATGACAGGCATGAACCACTGGCGCTAGGCTTAATCTCAGCTTCTGGAGTTGCTCTAGTTACAGGCGTGATAAGCAGCCACGGGCTGTCTACATTTTTCTATTGTATCAAATCTGTGTCATCTGCTGGTTTTGTTTTTTCTGACAGCCCCATGGGATCCCTTGCTGTCACTTGGGCAGCGGGAGGGCTCTGGGGTAGCAAGGGCAGCCTGCTCACGCGGTTACCCCTCTGACTGTGCAGCCGTCCAGTTGTGCCTCCTCTGATTCCCCCCAAGATCCCCGAAGGGGAGCGCGTGGATTTCGATGTAAGCGCAGCGGTGGGCCAGGCCTGGTGGCCTTGGGGGGGGGGGGCGGAGGGGGCTGAATTGAGAATTGTCCCCTGCTGTACAAACTGTGTCATTCCTTCCTGCTGGGAGGGGCTGGGTCGGTGGGGTCACGGGGTGATGGGGCCCTGGCCCGCAGGACATCCACAGGAAGCGCATGGAGAAGGACCTGTTGGAGTTGCAAACACTCATCGACGTGCACTTCGAGCAGCGCAAGAAGGAGGAAGAGGAGCTCATCGCGCTGAAGGACCGCATTGTGCGTGCAGTGCCCGTGGGGTCCGGGGTCCCCTCTCCTCTCCCCGTGGTGTCTGGGGACTTGGGGGGGGACACAGAAGATGGACTCCCCTCAGCCCCAGGCAGAGGCTGGACCTGCTTCTCTTTCCTCTTGACTTCCAGGGGTGAGGGCTGGTCTCCTCACCCCCTTACTCTCCTTCTCCCCTTCACCTGCCCCCACCCCCAGGAGAGGCGCCGGGCCGAGAGAGCTGAGCAACAGCGCTTCAGAACAGAGAAGGAGCGCGAGCGGCAGGCCAAGCTGGCGGTGGGCGCTGCGTCCCGGGGCTGGGTCTGGAGGGCCCCTAGGTCACCCCGAGCTCACTTGGGATGCAGCTCACTCACGGTGCACCCTAAGTCCCCTCGGGACTCGATTCCGCACCGTGTGGCGCCCCGTGGGTGAACCCCGCCATTCCCGCAGGAGGAGAAGATGCGCAAGGAGGAGGAGGAGGCCAAGAAGCGGGCGGAGGACGACGCCAAGAAGAAGAAGGTTCTGTCCAACATGGGCGCCCACTTCGGGGGCTACCTGGTCAAGGTGAGGGCGGCCTGGGGAAAGAGGGGGTGGAGGTCGGATTCGCGGTCCGGTGAGGGCTGGGTCTGAGGGTGGAGGCCGGGGTCGGGGGAGTTGCTGCTCTGGACTGGACACGGGTTTGGTCCGGAGGAGAAGCCTGGCCCCGGCCCAGGCCTCCGCTCCCCGTCCCGCAGGCAGAACAGAAGCGGGGAAAGCGTCAGACCGGGCGGGAGACGAAACTTCGGATCCTGTCGGAGCGGAAGAAGCCTCTGAACATCGAGTACCTGGGGGAAGACCAGCTCCGGTAGGCGGCGCGGGAGGCGGAGGGCCTGGCCCGGGAGGCGGCAGGGTCTGGCACTGTTAGTCGGGGTGCGTGTCTCCCTCTCTCCGGGCGCTCCTGTGCTCTCTGGGAAACGCCTCTCCCTCTTCTCTCCTCCTCTCCCGCCCCACTTCATCTCCCTCGTCTTCCTCCCTGGTGTGCTGCGGACCCACCGTGGGTCCCTCACCACCCCGACCCGGTAACGGCGAGATCGCGGTGGGGATGGATGGAACCCCCGCGCCCCCTCCGCGCTGTGTGACTCCGGCCAGCTCCCTCTCTGGGCTCGGGACTTCCTGGTTCCCCTCCGTTACAGCCCGCCCTCCTCCTCGCCAGGGAGAAGGCCCAGGAGCTGCTGGACTGGATCCACCAGCTGGAGTCTGAGAAGTTCGACCTGATGGAGAAGCTGAAGCAGCAGAAATACGAGGTGAGGCGGGCCCTGGGCTCTGGGCAGGCAGGCCGGAGGCGGGCCCGGGGGGGGGGGGGCGGGGCCTTCCGGGTGGGTGTCGGCGAAGTGGGCGTGGCCTTCCGGTGGGACAGGGCCCGCCTGGTGGGCGAGGGTGGCGAGGCTGATGGCGTGGGTATGTCAGGGTAAGTGGGCCCGGGCCTGTCGGGTGGGTGTGGGTGGCGTGGGTATGGCCTATAACGTGGGCAGAGTAGAGTGGATGGGCGCGGCCTGCTTGGGTGGGCGGGGTAGACGGGGCCGGCAGTGTAGGCAGGGCCCGCAGGTGGGCATGCCTGTCCCCCTCCACCCACACACCGACCAGTCTTTCCCTCTCTCCTACAGATCAACGTGCTGTACAACCGCATCAGCCACGCCCAGAAGTTGTAAGCTGCCCTGTTCCTCCTCCACCCTCTGGCCCTGAGGCTCCCTGTCCACCCCTTAAAGCTTTGCGGCAGCCCCCACTAATCCTGTACTCATGGTGTGGGGGCCAGGGATCTTAGTTCCAGAGCAATGCTGTGTGTGTGTGTGTGTGTGTGTGTGTGTGTGCATGAATGTGCTGGGAACCCAAGCCAAGCCTCAGAACTCAGGACAAATGGCTCTACTTCCGTGCTTCCTCCTGACTTTCCCATGTCCCAGCTGGACCCCGCCCCTGGCATCTGGTGGGCAGTGCCTGGAACTCTGCCCTGAGTCCCACACTGGACTGTTAGGCCCTCGCTTACTGCACTGAGGGCTCTGGCCCAGTGTCCTCTATGGCTCCATGTATTTTTCTTTGTTTCATTCTCAGTCTCTGTTTATTCCACATATAATATATATTATGTATATGTATATATACTATATATACATATACTATATGTATAATGTGTATAATATATATGTATATAATATATACGTATGTATGTATTATGTATATACATATATATACATACTGTATATATATGTGTGTATATAGTATATATAGATGGAATAAACAGAGCCTGAGAGATTAAAATATATACGTATATATATTTATATATTCTCAGGTTTGAACTCAGAACCTTATGTCGCTAAGCAGGTGCTTACCCACTTGAGCCACAGACCTAGCTCTTTCTGTTTATTTTTTGAGTAGGTTCTCCTCTCCCCACCTGCTTGCTTGTTTGTTTTTTTCAGCCTGGGCCATGAGCTTCCCATTTGCCCTTCCCACCTTTGCTAGAATGACACACTATCACAGTCAAATTTTATTGGTTGAGATGGGAAGGGGGAGGGTGGGGAGAAATCACAGTAACTTTTTACTTGGGCTAGCCTCAAAATGTGATTTTCTTGGCCTCTGCCTCCCAACTAGCTGGGATGATAGGCCTGGCTTGTATGGTGCTTTTGAGACAGAGTCTTGCTGATTTTGCCCAGGTTCTCCTTGAACTCACCACACTCCTATCTCTGCTTCTTGAATAGCTGGGATCGCGCGCGCGCGCACACACACACACACACACACACACACACACACACACAGCACCATCCAGCATGCCACCCCGACATTGGATCCCCCTTCCTTCCCCATCCCACCTATGAACCTCCTGACTCCCTGAAATCAACTCCCACATGGTCCACCTCCCACTCTCAGTGAATCTGAAGAGTAATGGCCTGCCTGGGCCTACCTCCTCCCTTGACTGGGGGCGGGTGCTTGGCTGATTGAATTCAAGGCCTGGGGTGCTGCAGATCCCTGCCTGACACGGCATGCATCTTTCTCCCACAGCCGCAAAGGGGCGGGAAAGGGCCGCGTGGGAGGCCGCTGGAAATGAGCAGCGCAGGACCCCAGGCCCACCTTGAGGCGTCGGGAGCCAACCCAGTGGGTCCCACATGCAACTCTAAATAAATAAATGTTCTAAATAAAGGCTCCTCAGATAAATCTGCTGCTGAGTTCTTTGATGTTTTTCCTGACCATTTGGGCACTCAGAGGAACTGGCATTTGACTTTTTTGTCCTGTGACCTGATTTTCTGGGATGGGAGTCCCCTGGCCTACAACGCGTTGTGCCTTCAGGGGTATGGCCGGGAAACTACATTCCCCAGCATGCCTGAGGTTGCCAAGGTTGACGTGACCTTTGCACCACAGCTTCTTGCTTCACACCTTCTTGGGGAAACTGTCTTCAAAGGCCTCTGGGATGAAGACCCACTTTCACGTGGGCTCTGGAGTTTTCCCACAACCTAGGCTGTTCATTCATTTAAAAAGGTATTTTTTCTGGAGAGGTAACAATGTACTCATTACCTTACTCATGCAACTGTAACCCCGTGTATATCTCTATCTATCTATCTATCTATCTATCTATCTATCTATCTATCTATCTATCTATCTATCTATCTATCTATCTATCTATCTATATGTGGTATTTTCTAGAATGCAAAAAGAATCCCTGCCCTCAGGGAGTTGATTTCTAACTAGAGGGGCTAGATAAGCCAGGATAAATGGAATAAATGGGGTATACAGTGTATGAGAAGTGGGTAGCCTTTGAGGGCCGTAGTTCTGTATTATTATTATTATTTTGTCAGTCGTGGGGCCCAGAACTCTGGGCCTGGGCGCTGTCCCTCAGCTCTTCAGCTCAAGACTAGCACTCTACCACTTGAGCTAAAGCACCACTTCCGGTTTTCTAGTGGTTTATTGGAGGTAAGAGGTTCACGGACTTTTCTGCCCGAGCTGGCTTTGAACCACGATCCTCAGATCTCAGCCTCCTGAGTAGCTAGGATTACAGGCGTGAGCCCACCGGTGCCGGGCCATAGTTCTGTATCTTTCAGTACCTTTTAGTTCCCCCCACTCCCATATCCCTTATCCTACCAGGCTCTGTTTCCTTCAGAGAACTACATCTCCCAGCATGCCGCGGTCCGCGCTCCGGCCTTTTCCCAGAGTTCCCCAGGACAGGCCGTTTCCACTCGACTCCCTGGGAAGAAGTGCGCACTTCCCAATGTGCCTGGGGGCATAGAGGGTCTAGCGACTTCCGTCCAGAGACTCCATTTCCCAGCGTGCCCCGGGATGACGTCTTGACGTCATCGCACCGGGCGGGGGCCGCGGGATCCCAAGGCGGCGCGAGGTGAACGGCAGTTCCGGCGGCGGCCCCC